TCTCCTGCATGCATACATACATTCTTTTTCTGTCTGTCTCTCTTTATCTCTTCTTTACTAGTTCCACCTCTTTGGCTTGTGTACATTCTTTTTACGTGTGACTGTTTGTATATAATACAGTATAAATTATTAATGTTATTATTTATTACTAAAATCATTTGTGTATTCACGTTATTACTCTTATGATTCTTTGGACTTTGTCGTTATCGGATATCTTAGAGTCTCATTACAGAACAGAAATTGCGCAGACGCTATTTACGCGCGAACACATTTACATAAAATTAGTCGCAGAGTTTTACATTTAATCGTGTTTGCTATTTGAGTGCAAACTTTTAACGATTAATTAAACAATTAATTCACTAATTTAATTTTACACACTCGCGTTCTCTTGGCTCACAGATAATTTTACCTCAGTTATTATATTTCTCAATCATTAGAGCCGCACACAGAAAATTGCTAAACCGATGATAACTTACTCGTTAACGCAATTGTTTCTATTAAAGTAGTAGTAAGTGCTTTATACGTTGCACAGGATTAATTAGAAAGTTTCGCATTCGTAGAATATTAAAGAGAATATCCAGATTCATACGAAATGAATGAGTGCTTCTCACTTGTATCTACGCGAGATTATTTTTCGACTTCTGCATTCTTTTTTTCCAAATTTTCACAGACGCAACGTTCGACTCTTGCAACACGTATTTTAACAACAATTTTACTTCGTATATAAGTTATTAGTAACCATTTAACTCTTCAACTTGCTCAAAATTTTAACATATTATTTTTCATTTAAATTCTTTCAAAATTCCACAGCGATGCAAATTAATATCATAATTTGAAAACAATAGTCAATAATTGATAAACATTTACCTGAAATTTAATCTGCAGAAAAAAGTAATTTATAAATATAAATGAGTATTCACATATTAAATTTTTTTTTTTCACCAATACTGGATATTGATTTGCGTAAAAAATGTTATATATTTAAAAATTAGGAAAAATATTAGTAAGAAAATTAATTTAAGAAAATTAATTTTATTTTACATTAATTTATTATCACTATAGTATATATTAGAATGACAAAACATCACGCGCAGCTAATAAAATATTAATAAATCCATAATATTTTTCGGCATTCTTGATCCACAATTATTTAGCACGGACATGCACCAACCGATCGTTTTACCGTAGCACCGAAAAGTGAATCTGGCCATGTAGTTTCGCCGGTTTTAAAATGGATCTAATTGACATTATTGTACGAGCTAGAAAAAGCGTCTTTCGAAAAACGGCGGCGTGGCCTCTCTCAAGCTTCTCATCTCTGATATTATTATATAATTTAAATAATTTATAAATATTATGTAAAGGTTCAAAGCTCGGCTAAGTGGATTGAGTCTGTACTAATTGTAAGCTTTTCCGCTAACAATAAAAGAGAGTTTAAAATTTAAATCTTCGCTAAGGTTTGAATCTCAGCTAAGTAGATTTGAGGTTTGAGTCTTTACTAAATAAGGTTTGAATCTCCGCCAAGTAAGGTTTGAATCTCCGCCAAGTAAGGTTTGAATCTCCGCCAAGTAAGGTTTGAATCTCCGCTAAGTAGTTTCGAGATTCGAGTCTCTCCTAAATGAGGTTTGAATCTCCACTAAGCGGATTTGAGTGTCGGTTAAATAGAGATCTCCACTAAACAGGTTCGAATCTTATCTTTATATCTTTATATACATATATAGTATAATCTGTGTTTTTGTAGATATTTAGATATATAATAAGTAATCTATGAAACGTGAAATTTGATTAAATATTTCTCTTTACGTTTAGTTTTTTATTCACGTGCTTAGAAGTGTCCAAGAAAAGAAAAAAATTAGAAAGTATAGTCACATTTAAAAATTTTTATTTTGAGATTACAGTAAAAAATTGATACGTACTTTTTTTTATATTTGTCACTGTTGAGATGCAGATGTTTAAATGATTTAAAGAGCTCTTTTTTAATCTTCTAGCAGTAAGCGTACGTAAATGTAATTTCCGTACAATAAAATTTTCTTTATTTGTAGGTATATAGGTATAAAAAGATATTCGGATGAGTTTTTTAAATACCATTGTATTTCTCTTCTGCCGCGGCGAATGTGTGTACAGAAAATTACTATGCGAATTATCTAAGCGAGGATTCATAGTTATCACGTTTTGTACAATATGTATAATAATACAATAATGATGATAATAATAATAAGTAGAAGAATAATCAATTTATCGACAAGATGTGATTGGTGAAGAATGACAATAGTAATGCTTTGATGAACGATGACGAATGACGACCAATGACTATAATTAATATTAAACGGTTGAATTCTCTTTCTCTCCTGCATGCATACATACATTCTTTTTCTGTCTGTCTCTCTTTATCTCTTCTTTACTAGTTCCACCTCTTTGGCTTGTGTACATTCTTTTTACGTGTGACTGTTTGTATATAATACAGTATAAATTATTAATGTTATTATTTATTACTAAAATCATTTGTGTATTCACGTTATTACTCTTATGATTCTTTGGACTTTGTCGTTATCGGATATCTTAGAGTCTCATTACAGAACAGAAATTGCGCAGACGCTATTTACGCGCGAACACATTTACATAAAATTAGTCGCAGAGTTTTACATTTAATCGTGTTTGCTATTTGAGTGCAAACTTTTAACGATTAATTAAACAATTAATTCACTAATTTAATTTTACACACTCGCGTTCTCTTGGCTCACAGATAATTTTACCTCAGTTATTATATTTCTCAATCATTAGAGCCGCACACAGAAAATTGCTAAACCGATGATAACTTACTCGTTAACGCAATTGTTTCTATTAAAGTAGTAGTAAGTGCTTTATACGTTGCACAGGATTAATTAGAAAGTTTCGCATTCGTAGAATATTAAAGAGAATATCCAGATTCATACGAAATGAATGAGTGCTTCTCACTTGTATCTACGCGAGATTATTTTTCGACTTCTGCATTCTTTTTTTCCAAATTTTCACAGACGCAACGTTCGACTCTTGCAACACGTATTTTAACAACAATTTTACTTCGTATATAAGTTATTAGTAACCATTTAACTCTTCAACTTGCTCAAAATTTTAACATATTATTTTTCATTTAAATTCTTTCAAAATTCCACAGCGATGCAAATTAATATCATAATTTGAAAACAATAGTCAATAATTGATAAACATTTACCTGAAATTTAATCTGCAGAAAAAAGTAATTTATAAATATAAATGAGTATTCACATATTAAATTTTTTTTTTTCACCAATACTGGATATTGATTTGCGTAAAAAAAATATTTAAATGTAATACACACACAAGCTGTATTATTCTTTCACCAAAAATTTAATATTTTGCGTGCTGTTTACAAGTTAATATAAGTTTAGTACTAATAATATGCGATTGTGGATTAATGGCAAAATATTTCAGAAAACATTTCGGGCGAATGCCGGTCTCGTTGAAAGTGTCGACCGTCACAGGTGTTGCCGGGGTCGCAGATGCGTCTGTGATGCAGCAGTGCGCCTTTGCTGCATTAAGCGGGCTAATTAAAAAACAAAACGAAATGATGAACGGACAGACAACCGGGAGTCTCCTTCGTGCGCGCGCGTGCACGTCTCTCTCTCTCTCTCTCTTCTCACATTCACTAATAAATAATACTTCATGATAGTGACACGCACAATATAAAAATTAACGGATCGCATTTCTTTCAGTCGATCGTTTTATCATTCGATCGAAGATCGCGCAGTCAGGGAATTAAAATGATATGGGATAAAACACGCGCTATGTGCTTTTCGCTGGACCCGTTATGTATCGCTTCGATCGTTAGATAGCGGCGCAAAATGTAGTACTAATATTAAAATTCGACAATATTAATTTCGATCCTTAGCACACTCTCGATCAACTTTTACGTAACTCGCATATGTTTTCTCATGCTAATTAAATAACAATAATGATAATACATATATTACACATACATACCACATAATAATAAATTAATTTGTTTAAATGAATTATTCGGGATCGCAATCGTTTCGATTCGCGGATATCGCGGATATCGATACATAACAGATTCATGTGCATCCTCATTTCAAATGCTCGGTTCGTGACAAGCTCAACGCACATTTGACCCATTGGCTTATTCTTTACGAAACTGCACTTGAAAAGAACGATTAACAAACGAAAATTTTATCTAAGAAATAGTTTCATATCAAAATATGAATTCCAAGATATATAGAAATGTACTTTATAAAATTCCTGTCTTCAGATTTTCCGATCGAATTCCGATCTTCATGATTTTGAAAGAGTAGAATATTAGATGAATGAAAAAAAAAAAGAAAAAAAATTAGCAGTAATGTATGCATTTTGCAGTAGTGTATTCATTTAAATACACATTAAAGTCGCATAGAGCAATTAACTAAATTAGAAATAACTGCAAAAGTTCATTGGGAAATCAAACCAATGAGTTAATCTCTGTGCTCCATCGCAGACTTCACGATCCTCGATCGCTCGATCGTTGCAGCAAACATAATATTCGCGCATATCCATTTAAATATTACGTATACCCATAGACATACACGCACGCATATATAATCCTTCCTTGCGTAAGCTCGACGGGCACGCTGCTGTTTTAATTAAAAAAAAATAAAAATATCCTAAGCTCGAGCTTTCGGGCGCGGATCGAATGCTAGAGCGTAAATTAAAGTCCGGATAGATTTCAAGCGACATACCGTTTCTCAACGTGTTGTTAGCTCGCCGTCCACCGGGTACATGAGGTACGTACATATGCATATATGTCATGCATACCGTAAACATACCGTGAACGACACTCTAGAGTCATGTCAACGCACATATGTGTGGTCTTGTATGAGAAATTCTTTTTCTTTTCACGATATCGTTTTTTACGTTCCTCTCCTATCTCGGTTACGTTAATGAGAATTGAGGTTATCTCTTGTAAATAAATTATTAATGATATTTATCGTTGAAAGTTTTTTTTTTTTTTTTTTTTTTTTGGTTTCGCTCATTGGATATCCGGACCGGAAATCCGATGACGCTTTCGGAAGAGGGTGAGAGATGCGTGTTGATAAGAAAATTTGATCCCGAAACTACTTTGACATTTGCCATTGATCATGTTCACGATGAGAACGGGAAAAGCGGGAGGTCCAATATGCTTGGACGCTGGAAAAAAATTCGGGATGAATTTTCTCTCGCTAGCAACACGACGGCGCAGCAGTGTCAGTGTAACGGTAATCCGTATGTAATAGGATCATTCACGCACACATTCGCGAACGCACACACATCTCTTTGCGCGATTTCATCCACACTAGGTCAGATGTATAATCGACGAAGTATCATCTCGACATTTAGGTATATATTTTGCGGGCCGTTTACGCGAGGGATTTCAGACGTATAATTTATTCGCATGTCCGAGTTACGAGGGTATGTAAATAATTATGCGTCGCGCGTGCTCTTTGGCGTCATTATTTAACCCGACAGTAGATTAATAAAATGGAAATCATACGTCATAAATGTTGTATAAAGTCCTTAAATTATGCATTTCATTGCCGGTATGTTAATAGCCAGCGGATCGACACCTGTTCGATTTTCCTGGGGAAAACGCGGCTCTTTTTCGCTCCGAATTTTATCGATGCATAAATTATCGTCAACAACGATGGTAATTAATGGAAGCTCAAATCGATCGAGCATTATGAAAGGTTCGGGTCACTTCAAAAGAACTCAAATCGTTGTCGCATTTACGAAACAAATCGAATTAAACATTTAACAAGGCTCGGCGTACGTAACGAAAATCACGTTCCATTTATCGATACAAACTTAATAATGTGCAATTACACAACAGCGTTTGATAATTTATATTTATTCATATAACAACCGAGAGAAGCAATGACTTTATTGATTCAACGATAAATATGCGCATAGAAAACGAAAACCGTAATTCATTTTGCGCGATTTATTCGACAAGTTAATCAAGTGAGTTATTTCTCTGCGTGTATTCATGTATGTTAAAAACACATATATAACTTAACTTCAAATTAATCTCTTATTATTCGTTAATATGTCGCGTTAGTCTTGTGAAATCTACAAAAGCAGAGATATCGAGATTTTGATCCTATAAACAAGAATAATATAATTTCTCGCTGTCTGAGATTACATTCGGAAACACTCGCGGTCCTGATAAATCGTTCGCAACTTGCACGCAACTTTTTTTCTGAGCGCATTTGCTGTGTCATGCGCTCGCGATATTATAATAGGAGTATAACTTTTGCTTCCCTCTTGCATTTCGCGTTTATACCAAGCACACTGTCGACTGAGTCATTCAGCCAGCCAGGTATCGAAGCTCTTTTCGACTCTTTGAGCGACCATCTTTGGGCGCTCTTCAACGTCCTCTGGCTCTCTCAATATTCTCGAGCTCTTAAACGCCCTCAGCCGCCACCTTCTCCTTTTCCCGTTTTCTCTCTTTCTTTCTTTCATGCCACCCTTCTTCTTTAACGTCACCGGAGGTCTCGACCTTCTTTCGTCGCCTTAAAGCGAGTTAGATAGTCGTCGTACTTTAAGCTAGGATCTGGCGTTAGCTGCCTTCGCGGGTACTAATTGACTAGCATCGTTAATTACTCTCGTTTGATCTCTCGCTTGCGCTCGATTCGCGTCCTCTTGACTTTCCTCTCCAAAGTCTACCTTTACCATATTCAGGCCGTGCCATACACGCTAGCACATCGAAAATTATTTCTTCTTCAAAGTATGCGATAGCATTGGTATATTAACAGTAATAATAATAAAAATAATAATAATATATTACTGTGTTTCGTACTAAATCTTATTATATTATTTGGTATATCGTGTATTAGAGTGTTGTTACACACACATACATTACGCGTATCGCGGTGCAATGTAAATAATAATATACTAGTTTGATCCCCGTCGAAACAAGGAAGAACCAACCCACCGGGCAGAATTTCGGCCTTCTCTCCCCTTTAAACGTTAAATGCGCTATCCTAAATTGCATACGTGGGAAAATAATTTTCGGTCGTCGATCCATTGACGATTTTTGCGCTTCTCATCCCGTGGCACTTGCGTGGGTTTTCCCAAAGCCGGAGGAGAAAACCTCAAAAAGTATCGGAAAGAACTGTTTTCGTACACACGGGATCCGTCGACGACAGCTGGCTCTCTTCTTACGAAAAATAAATATAGAATTTCGCGGAATATATATACGTTTGCGCGCCATCGCTAGGAATACAATAGTATAATTGCTAATTAATTGTTATACAAGAACACACACGCGAAGTCAAACGCGTTTTCCCTACTACCATTTCGCGAGAAACGTAGCCAAGAAAAACGGGGCATTTACGTTTAATTACGGAATTCATGTCGCACGAATCGGGTTAACGGCGGACTCTGAGGAAATAAAAGGCGCATCTCGCGCTAAGTCGTATTACAAAATAGGCAGTGCGTCGGGTTATCTCGACAATCGAACAATCTATTCAACTAAATAATAGAGAGACACGTACCGCAACTATCCAAACTGCTGTTCAAACTTTGGCTCGTACTCGCAACTTCGTTCAGTACCGCGTTTAGCTTCCGATTTTGAACTTTATCAATCATCGTATTTTTTTTTTGTTTTTTTTGTTTTTTTTTGTTGTTTTTTTTTGCGCTACGTGAGCTGTTGGGCGAAGTTAGTCTTTCCATATATTATAGAATAAATCAAAATTTCCGTAAACTATAATTATTTTAATATGTCAATTATAACTTTATAAATAAATTAATTTGTCCTCTTACGAAAATATTATATAAAATACATTTTTTAACTGATTTATATGATTCTATCCAAAATAACTTAAATATAATAGTACGATCCTGAAAAGAAAATTCGCGCGCGTAACCGATCCACATTTAATTAACGTAGCGCGAAAGTTGTGAGTCAAATAAGAATATCCCTCTCGATAGAAATCAAACAAGGGTGTTCACGGCTAAACCCCTTTGCGCGGTGAAAATACGCCCGGTCTAGACGACCTATCGGACAGCGCAGTGGAGGCTAAACGTAGCGGCTGGAGATACGAGCTATCGACGGTACAATTATCGTTATAGATCGCACGTCACGCGGGCGGCAATCATTCGATCCGATTCCGAACATACAATGATAAATTAAAAGTGAGGAACATATGTCGCGTGTGACTATGTACACTAAGCGTGCTCTCCCGAGATGTGCGCCGCGCGCGCGTGCGCGGCTCCTCTCTTTCATTTAAATACAATATGTATATATTTATATGTGTATAGACATACACTTACCAGACAATGACGCGAAACGACTAGACTGTGACTCAAACTAACTCTTTTTTTTCTTCTTTTTCTTTTGTTGCTCTTCCTCTTTGCTCTGTCTCGCGCCTCCTCTATCTTCATCTCGCTTGCATAAAACGCTTCGACATACACACACGCTCACACACATACACGCACGCAAAATACATACACAGTATCTATGCTATATACAGATATGTACAATGGTATACAATTAATGCGCATTAATGATCGCGCGTGCAAACAGATGCGCCGTCGGGGATGGGGATAATTTTGCGAGGACGTTAACGAGCGGCCACTATCGAAAGCGCAGCTTGCGATTGAAATCGGGCTGACAGATCGGCCAGTTGTTGTTTTGTCGTAGGCTTGATCGCCGTTACATTACGCGTTATTACATCCCATCAGGTGGAAAGCTCGCGAGCTCTCGCGAAAATCACGACCACACAAATAGCAATGCGCGCCGAAACGTTCAAAGCACAAGTGCCGTTCCATTTATATACATATATATAATTGATAGTTCCCGATGTTTATCCGGAAATATTATTTTTCTATAATATTAAATAGTATATTTCTCTTTATAACGATTATACAATACAGTACCAGTTTCGACGGCGATGCGTGTCGGGATGGTTTTGATTTTCGCGAGTGCGGAAATGAAGATTCTTTTAAATTTTTCGCTTCGGTTTTGTCGTGTTCTTCAAAAATTTGTAACGATAAAAAATGCAACGGCTGTTTAAATAAATTTTATGATTTAATGAATTTGTACTTGTATAGTGATCGATTTATAACATACTCATTTGCTCGAATAGTAGTGAATTTTGTTAATCTTTTTGTTTTCTCTTTTGACGAAGATAATATGTAAACTCGACAATACGCAATTGCAAAGCGTCTATAGAAAATACGGTATAAGCGCATGGGCCAAAGTATGATTATAAAAATTTGAGAAACACAAAATAGCCTTTTTTAGTTCAGAATAAATTCACTTTGTCGCGTTTTTGCAACAAACCGGTATTAGCAGATATAACGATGCAAACAAAAAAATAAATTAATTATTATTTAAGTTTCATAACTAATATATTATTTTTACGAGAGCTATAATTATTCATAATTCAAATATTCGTCATACTACTTTGAAATTAATGATCAGTTAGCAATCTTTTTGCCCTGCATAGAATTTTTTTCACAACTGATTATTTTCATCCCATGTTAGAAAAAATCTCCCATCACACACAAGCTCTTCATCGTCAAGTTTCACGCATTCTGCACTCTTGCGTTCCATCCACATCCTCGAATTGTCTCACGGGTCGAATGTTTCAGGAAAGTCTCGAGAGAGGTCTTGTCGATGGTTACCAATTCTCTTGACTGTCCCGCGGTTTTTGTTTCATCGTGTTCTCCGTCATGGTCCTCTCATGAACTCTTCGCCATGGTCATTTGTACAATTGTTTCATCGATCACGAAGGATCCATTAGGTCTCGGGATCTTTCTGCTTCCCTTTCTGGTCTCTTCTGCTGCTTTACTTCGCTGTTGTCGAATCTCTCTCTTTCTCTTTCTTTGTCCCTTCATTCCTCTCGTCACTGAGCAAGAAACTTCTTCAGCAACATGACAATAAACGTAGCGAGCGTTGCCTACACAGTCGAGTATGATTCTTTGGTTTTTCCAAGGATGACAGCGACCGACATTACACAAAAATAAACGAACGACGAAAGTCGTGAAAGAAAATTCCTCTCTTCGACGTATTCTTGTCCCCGTTTTGAATAGAAGTGTTTCCTCGTCGAAGGATTTTTTTTTTTGGCCGGTCTCGTTGTCATCCAACTTGGTACTTTGGTTTTTTTTTGTCAGATATATGGAGAAGCGGCGGATTCGGACAACTAGGTACGCGATCACGCGACTTTCTCTTCTCAGAAACCGACGAAGAAGTATATTATATTTATATGTTTTTCGTGTGCTGTTCTATCGTTCTCTAGAACAACACGCGAAGACATTTTTATTGTGGCAAACAGCTCGGGATGTTCATTTCGCAAGAATGACGTTCGCCTGTCCTGTTGATGACAAAAGAACACGAACCTAGATGTTGTTTCTTTTTAACTACGCGCTTTCAAAATCATTCGCATTTCGCTATAATAAAGTAGTCTGATATTGCGCTTAAGAAGCTTCCGCGGGATTATGGAGCGGATGCGGATCGCTCCTTCCACGAAAACAAAATGGAAGACAAAACGTAACAAGAACGCAAAACATTTGTTCGATGTTCGTCTTCTCTCGCGTCTCTTTCGTCTTTCTGACAGAAGTACATCGCTTTTACCGGTCACCTATCGTTCCCACTATCGAATCGTACAGTCTTCTCATCTTTTAGAATTTTCTATTAATACTAAATTATATTTCCTCGCTCATTTTTCGCAGTTTTCCCGACGGGCGCTCTGTCGCTTTTCTCGAGTATCGTGCGCGAACAGGCCGGTTCGGAAGAAAATATATACTACGACGAAATTACGATCCTTTTTGCGCGAAGGGCGATCAAAGTCACGTTTTCTCTGATGAGGAGAATGACTGCTGATGATTTCATCGCACATCTCTTGTTTTTACATGCCTCTTGCTTTCGGTGCTTCGGAAAAAACATCTCGCTCTAATACATTATGAAAGATCCGTAATACACACACCAATGACAATCTCGTTCGACATCGCTCAACAAGGTTTCTCCTGTCTTTTCCTCCGTCTCTTCTTCTTTTTTTTCCATGGGCGATCAGCTTCGCGTTACGTGTGCCTCGGCTGGCCGTACGCGAAGCTGACCTCGCGTCATGGATAGTCTGGATGCATCAGATTATACATGACCGCGAAGATCGTGCAAGCGGCGTAAACGCCTAGAGCGACCCACCAAAGTAACTGCTCGTGTAGCCGTTGCTCAAAGTTCTTCAACACTAGAAGGCCGATCGTCAGACCAGCCAGAGCGCCTGTCAAATGGGCGACGTACGACACTGGCGGACCCATTTGCTCCGCAGCGTATCTGTCGTAGATCGCGAAGCCTACATCAGCGCTAGCTGCAATCAGAGAAATAAGGATTTCGATTAAAATTTACCATTGATTGTTTAAAGATATGCACGATTTTACTTCCTCGTATATTTAAATTTATTTGTCGATAAATGTTTAAATTAATCATCGTAACGTCATTTATAGTTAATCGTTATTCTAAAAGAGATATTTTTTAGTTATCTTATATCTCTTATATATAATAACGATTATAATATAACATATATATTATAATTATATTTTAAGAATATATAATTTCTCTCTCTCTCTCTCTCTCTCTCTCTCTCTCTCTCTCTCTCTCTCTCTCTCTCTCTCTCTCTCTCTCTCTCTCTCTCTCTCTCTCTCTCTCTCTCTCTCTCTCTCTCTCTCTCTCTCTCTCTCTCTCTCTCTCTCTCTCTCTCTCTCTCTCTCTCTCTCTCTCTCTCTCTCTCTCTCTCTCTCTCTCTCTCTCTCTCTCTCTCTCTCTCTCTCTCTCTCTCTCTCTCTCTCTCTCTCTCTCTCTCTCTCTCTCTCTCTCTCTCTCTCTCTCTCTCTCTCTCTCTCTCTCTCTCTCTCTCTCTCTCTCTCTCTCTCTCTCTCTCTCTCTCTCTCTCTCTCTCTCTCTCTCTCTCTCTCTCTCTCTCTCTCTCTCTCTCTCTTAAGAATTCTTTTTTAAGAGTTTTTGTTCTCTAAAGTACCGATGAAAATGATGCATAGCAAGGCGATAAGGAAAGCATAAGAGGAGCAAAAAGAGGAACAAGAAGAGAAATAAGAAAGTGGAAGAGTGCGAAAAAGTAAGGACGCCACGAGGAGCCGAGCCGACGGCGAGCTTTGCTGAAAAGCTCTCAAAGTGTCGTCGAGAGAAGAAGAGGTTTCCTGCAGCTTCCTCAGCAGCTTTTTCCTACGTCTGCGACTACTGTAGATGACTGTGTAAGTTCGTTATGTTTCCGTAAGAAATTTGCTTCTTCGTTAGTCAATATAGAAATGAGCTTTGCGAAAGCGGATCAGCTTTAGCTTCGAGAGCTACTAAAGCATTTTAACATTTTTTACAAAAATTTCTTATCTTTTTAATAAATACAAAGTATTACATGGAAAGATTACGATTAATCCAAATGGTCTAATTTTCATCAAATTTCTATTTTTGTATATACACATGTATAAAGTTACACATATAAAATCTTTTCTTGTGTATATTGTGTATCTTAAATAAAAAATTAGTTAACGAATTAATCATTGATTTTTTCTTTAAATGAAATTTTCGTTAAAAATTAATATAACCTGAATGGAAATTAAAATAACCGGTTAAAGAATAATCTAATTATCCGTTTATAGAAACTTATTTCATTTTCGATGTTACGCAACTGTGCAATTAAGTTTTCGTTAACAAGATAACTTGAAAAACTTATCGAAGTATATATAACTCAAAGAAATTCTGATATACATTCTGTATACTATTTTTCTTCTGTTCTCAAACGCGATACCTTTGCGTTATTTAAACGCTTTTGCGCTGCTTAACTTGTATAGCGAGGCTAAGTTATATAATTCTTGAAGCAACAAAAGCTGGATTCTTTCCGAGTTTTTCTGTCTATTCCTTTTTTTAACGTTATTTGCTTGACTATGATCAGTGCATGTCCCCGTGAGTGTGCTATATAATTTTATTATCGTATCTTTTTCGTCATAACCGATGTTCTTCCCTCTCTATATCTGTTACCTGCCTGTTGTTTTAATTTATAATTCGATTTTGATGGAATTATCAGAGAAAAGCTTAACTAGACATATTGAATTCCACTAGTATACTTGAAGCACTTTCAATAATTTGTAAAAAGCTCACTTCATTGTTGAAATGCTCTACTTCATTGTTAAAATTTATTATTAATTATCAATATATACAGCAGTTATTTTGTAAGCTGCGTTTAATAATTATACATTATCTCTGTTTCAAATTTACATATAATTTAATTACATATAAAAATCTTCTCGTTTCGTGAAAATTCGTTTAATATTTTTTGAATTGTGTCCCATCTCTTCTTCATCGTGACAAACTTCGAGTCGCTATTATACCATAATCTTAAAGTATCGCATCTCTTTTTTAATTTCAATCGAGCTTACTTAGGCGCAATAAATCTTGATGACTCGATAAACAGAAGCGATGGCACTGTCCCCGTTTGAAAATTTGACGGAACTAGCATCTGTTCTCTTCTCATGGTAAACAATCCCAACGTTGGTGAAAATTCTTCACGGCAATCACGACGCGTGCAAAGCATCTATCTTTTAATTAAAACTTCAGAATAGCGGCAATTCTCGTCGCTTTCTGCTTTATACCGCGAGAAAAAAACGAGGAAATTAAAATTTCAAGAGGAGCATGGAAAGAAAGTGCCAGGAAAGAAAAAATGGAACGATTGAATGACAACCAACGAAAATACAAAGAGTCACGAAGAAATATTAAAATGTAGTACGCTACTGTGTTTAGTAAAACAAATACTTTAATTCATAAATTTAATAATTCTGAATAATTTTATCGAATTCAATAAATAGTATAGAAGCATCTAAAAACATTTAAATAATTCAAAAAATAGATATGTAATTCCGTATTAAAAAACTATAGAATTCAATTTAAAAAAAGTTATGATCTTGAAAATTCTGATGCGACGAATTTGATGAGAGTAATCTTTCCATTATTATATTTCTCTTTTCAAATTGAGTACATTTTATTTTTCACTTTTTTGCGTATACTGTAAGTGCAACAAAGATAATCAGCTGTTTTATTTTAAGTGCTTTATTTTATATAATTAATCTCGCGTTGCCGAACTCGTTGATTAAAAAAAATTGTCGGTATTTGAAAGTATTTCTAAAATTTGAATCAAGTTGCTTCGCAAAGTTCTGATTGTAATTGACGATAGCGTATTTTCTTTGCGTCTTAAAGCGTTATGGGGAAGACGAGAGACCCTTTGCCATATCGCAGATTTCTACGAGAGCGTCATTTGCATTCGCGCCTGCATGGATGACCCGTTTCCACGTTGTGAGAGCGCGTTTATCGATCAAGCTTTACTCTGCTCGCGTCAAGTTCTCTCATGCGATTACGATGTAATCCAAGTCGAAACGCGTAGATTGAAACCGGTCTGAGCTGTTACCGCGAACAGAAAGTATATATGAATATATATTCGAAACGGTGCGTAGAAATAGAGAAGGGAGAGAGAAAAGAGAGAGTGAGAGAAAGCGCGATGGCAAATATCCAAATTCGCGCTGACGGTAATCAACCCTTTAAACAAGGTTACTGAAGACTCGAGAGGCTCTGTCAGGGTGAATTTAAGGACTCTGGGGCCACTACAACCAGATAATGCACACGTATAGTGGCGGTCAAATTACGTGCTATACGGACCCTCGATACTAGAGTCCTACGTCTTTGCCAATATCACGCTAACTATTATTACGTCGCCATAGGCGCCGAATTCTGAGATTGTATTCTAATCTGAGACTCGAAGGTATATCGTTTAAATCCTTAAGAACATGTTTATACGTAACTCCTCTGAAGAGGCCAATGGAAAGACGAAAGATATTGTTCAAAAAATATTCTTTATATATTTAACTAACATTTTTACTAAATTTTCCGTGATAAAAATTAATCCCATTCTATATCGTGAGTTTATTATATCTCCTAGATATCTTATTTACTATAATATTCAGAGCTACTGTTTGTTATCATCATTCGTGATACTTATTTAATCTTAACACGTTAATGTACTATATTTAATTCTCAGTAAAGAACAAAGCGAGATTAATATGTACGAGCATCGGCGCCAATGCTCAATCATGACCGTTCTCGAAAGCAGATCGATCGGATATCGAGCGGGCAGGTCGAAGATAGATAGCTTTGGTCGCGATGACTGTGTGTGCAGGCCGATGATCGAGGAAGTAGGGTCTACTTACCGATGACGAAAATGCCAATGAGCCGAACTATCCCGAATTCCATATTATTATAGTTGAGGAGAACATTGGCTAGATGCGCTGCCAAAAGGGCATAAACGCCCCCGCTCGCCCCGACTAGATACACATCCGTATCGAACACCGACGTGCCCAGCGAACCTGAAAACAAAACAAGTATATTTCTTTTAATAATTTATTAATTATTTTTTCAAACTTATCAGTTATTTCGGATCATTAATTTTTAGCGTATTTCTTCCAACAAAGGCAATATAATAAAGATTAATATTAGAACCTGACAATTAATGTATCGTTAATCTAATTTCTAATATTGAAATAAGTATCCCATAAAAATTAAAGTTTTACTTTCGTAATCAAATCGCTTTCTATTATAATGTGTAATAAATATATCTCAGTTTCGAATTTAGAAATTTGTGAAAAAAATATATTTTTACTTTATCATACCACTATTTTACGCAGTACTTAATTCACGAATATGGAATTACATAATCAACAAAATTTTTCGAGAAGAGAAAACCGGCCGTTCTCTCTCACGGAACTGCGAGTTTCCCGTTTCGGAAGTTTCCGTCATTGTCTGCCGAACTGGGAAACGCTCGTTCTCGGACAACCGCGAAATGCGGACAAAATTTTCCGCTCTCACCGCCCTCGGCGAATAAAATAAGAATAATATTCGCTCAACAACTCGAAAGTTCGCACGGCTCTACGCTCCAGGTTAACGGCGCCAAAAACCCTCTCTCTCTCTCTCTTTCTCCCTCTTGAACTCGCTCTTTCTCTCCAATTCATTTCGGAAACATCTGTTGCTCCGCGCGTAATGTGCAGAACGCTCGTAGGAAAACGAGTGCACGCCAAATAATTAGAATAATAAATAATTTTTATTCTTTTAATTAATATAATTATACTTTTTCGCAAATAAATGCAAACCGACCAAATGTATTGTACATATACGAATTTGTTTTCTCATGATTGCCAAATAGACATAAAACTCTCTTATCTAACGGACTTTAAATCTTTTAAACTTATGTACTCTATTCTGTCTTTATATTTATGGCACTTATGTCTATGGACGGGTGTCGTCTGTAATGCTCTCGCCATTTCGTCGATTCATGAATGTCAGCGGTATAAAGCGCTTCCGGGCGTTAGCTAGCTCCGGTTATTAGAAACAGGATTAGGGACCCGTTTCCGAGTACTTGTCCCATAATTTGACAAACTGCCCACGACAGTCGGCACACGGATACGCAGGAGCATATATGGTTGCAGCGCGCTAAAAAGTATCCTAATAACGAGAAATAATCGATATGCGACATCGATGGTCGAGATGTGATGTAACATTCAAAATTATAAACATAATCCGGTCAACATTATTATAGATAAAAGATATATTTCTCACACATATATTGTATATAATCGCATTCATTCGTTACAAATAAAAAATGTAAAAAAATATATATAATTATTTAAAAAAAAATTTCTCATATGAGCTTGTGTAACAAAATGATTTTTATACATATAACTATCGCAGGTAGGTATCTAAAAGTAACGTTGCATTCCAATTACACGCCAAATGTCGCCCGACCGACGATAGGAGGCAATTCGGCGCACGATAGTATCGTAATAATAGCAGCGCGCGTTCGACAAACTCCGCAATTCGCAATGTTTCACTCGCGCAACTGGTAACCGTGCAACGAGCGTATACCGTGTCGCGCGCAACCCCGAGAGCAACGGTAATGTATCAGACACACGATCGCGCTAGTTAAACATTAATATCGCGCTGGACAGGCGGATGGTGCTTCGCGAATCGATGCGACGGCGCCCGCCCGCCCGTCCCGTCCGCCTATACATATATCGTGGGAAATGAGCGAGGACATTAGTCGCTTCCTATGTGGAAATGTGGAAGCGACCGGGACGACGGGTTGGTTGGTGATTCGGCACGTCTGGCGGAGAGCGGTGAACGCCACCTGACACCTGACACCTGGGAACCTGCTGACCGATCGCCCTTCGCAAACCTAACCGCCCGACCACTACCACCACCACACTACCTTTGATCCGTCCTAAATTACAAGTGCCGTCCGACCGATACGCGTCTACCCTGACAAGGTTGCCCCGATTTATTAAGGCTGTCGCTCGTAATTCGTCGACTGCTGATATACGGGATATCGGGATTGTTTCCCTTGTTTCTTTTTAGCTCTGTACGCGGATTCCAATCTGGTTATTCTGTAATCTGGAGTACGATCAGTATTTAAAAAAATCGAGACATCGATAATTTCTGAATTCTAAGCGTTTAAAGAGCTTCGAGGATGTAATTTTAATTAAGCTGTAGCGCGGTACGAGATAATGCTTACTCTAGATTTCGCTCTTCAAGAGCTTGTATCTTTCGAGATAAAATTTGGGGTGATACGTCGAATTGCATTACGCGGATGCAGGTCTCTACGTCCATGACATCCTCGTTTCTTGCAAAACCGACGATTCAATTGAATTCGTCGCTACGCACTGGTCATTAACGCGCGACCTACATCGGGATTGCAGCAGCAGCAGCAGCAGCAGCAGCAGCAGCAGCAGCAGCAGCAGCAGCAGCAGCAGCAGCAGCAGCAGCAGCAGCAGCAGCAGCAGCAGCAGCAGCAGCAGCAGCAGCAGCAGCAGCAGCAGCAGCAGCAGCAGCAGCAGCAGCAGCAGCAGCAGCAGCAGCAGCAGCAGCAGCAGCCGTCGTGGGAAAACCACGAGAAATGCTCGTGTTTCGTAAACTACCTACACGAAGTTTCCGCAGAGCGCAAATCGCGTCTAAGCCGGTGCGCAACGGAGCGACGTGGAAACGCATTAAGGATGCAAACATCAATTCGTGCGAGTTCGCGAGCGCTCCGAATTACCTGCAATGAATTATTAGCGTCCGTTTAATAAATGATCGAGTCACATCCAATCGGAACAAGAGAGCAATTATTCGAGACGCGTGGAATTAAGTAGCTTACAGCATAAATACCGAGATTGTCGTGCACGTCGAATGACATTAATATTAAGCAACATCTCAAAGATACAACTGCATTTATCGCACAAGCCTGATATAAACCCGATTCGAAGCTTCGATGATTTTTTGTGATACTTTTAAGAAATTCGACATAGAATTGTGATTATAAAAATATCACATACAATGATAAATTATTAATGTTCTAACAGCAATCAACATCTATCAATATGATAACACTAACGACATGATAAATAGACGTAGAGACGTGTAAAAATGCAGAAATTATATTAACTAATAATAAAGAAAGTAAAATGAAGAATATAAAATTTATTGTCATGGTCAATATTTGTAATGTAACGTAATGCAATAATGTCGCGTGGCTGTAATAATACTATAATACGATAAAATAGAGAATATAGAGGATCTCAGCTGTCATCGTCAGTCTGTTTGTCGTCGTGCCATAGTTAATTGGAAGTTGAAGCACGCCGAGAGACCACTTTACCCCCGTGCACGACGAACCATGCTTCTCTGTGTAGTAATTGACTCGAGTTAACGGATACTGGCTCAAGAGAGCCGCTGATTCCCCTCATCCACTCTCCTTGGTCCAACTTAGACGATGCTGCAAGCATTTACGGTTTACCGTCGTTTACCTAACTGAGACTATAAGAGACAAGTCATACAGCGACACAATATCTCATTGGGCGCGCTGCCAAATTTACAAATCGATGCTTTGTCGATTTCCTTATTTTAGAAATTAATTATTGAAAAAATTGTCATCTGTTATGAGCTCTCGATTGAAAAATATTCGAATAATATTAATTAAAATTATCTTCTTAGTAAAACGTTTTTTTTTATAAACGTTAAGATTCACGTACATTCTGATAAATTTTATGTTATTCTAAATTTTTCTATTTTATTTTTATCTGTATATAATATTATTCATCTTTAATTTTAAACTGTTACTGATATGTGCAAATAGATAGTAATTTACAAATTATTACATTATTTAAAGACGATTTAATTGCACTAGTTTCGCATCTGTTGCATCTTTGGTATCGCCATATTCGTAATTAAATTGCACGTCTTTTGTATCCAAAGGAATGTTTGCAAAATTAATTAGGTTGTCTTAATCATTAAAACGCCAGTGTAAACAAAAGTGAAGGGTAAAGGATTCAAAAGAGAGTTCTGTACTCTTTCTAGCAATAAAGAGAGAAATATGTGTATACATTGTATGCAGATAAGGGAGAAAGAGAGAGAAAGAGAGAGAGAGAGAGAGAGAAAAGTAACAGCAAAGCGTCGTCTCAAGAAAATTAGCAACCTGGCGCAAAAACGAGCATGACGAGTAAAAGGAAGCAGAAAAAAGGAGAGAAAAAAGGAGAGAAAAAAGAAAAGAGAAATGAAGGCGAGTCGCGAAGCATAATAGAGTCCTCGTGGACTTTCCTTGGGTTATGAAATTCATCCGAGCCTTCGTTAGAGCCTTCGACTTTACCTTGAGGAAGAAAGCATGAAAGGAAAGGAAGTGGGTCGACGCGGGTCCGCCAACGAAATGCACCGGTGCGAATTAATGTTTTCGCGACCTACTCCTATGATTACAACATGCGGCTCCATCCGCGTATCTGCTACTCCGCAATTCCATTGCAATCAATCTGTCCAACAATGGTATCGCTAACTTCGCCTAGATACAAACATGCCGAAGAAATGTAAATAATATACGAGAATTTTACTTTACATTGTAAATAAATATATGCCAATTTCTTTACAACTACGAGATAACTTTTTAGCGTTTAGTGCATGATAATATGTCGCACGTATTTTACACTGTACAAAAATCGTCGATTAATGACTCGTTGGCACCAATAACGGAATCTGTTGAAACCAAACGGCACGATATGCAACAGGTGCAACGGAACTACCGCGAAGGAAACGTCCAATAGCAAAAAAAAAAGGAAGAAAAATCGGAGATGCGCACATACTTGTATGACACTCGTGTCGTTTTTCCAATTCTAAGAATATTTTGCATATATGTATAAAAAACAGATGTGAAAGACAATGAATTTGATAAATAATTGATTGAATTAAAAAGCTCAAAACAAAAAAAGCTTGATATTTCGAACCTTCTAATTATTTCATAAAAACACTTTAATGACCTTTAATAAACTTTTTTAACAATTATTTAATGTAAGCT